AAAAACATCCTCTAAATTTTCCATATCTTTATCTTAAAGAAATTTTGAGTTTTCACAAAACCATTAGATTTTCCCCCTTAGAGAAAACTCCATAAAGAATGAGAAAAATCTTATAAACAACATATCTTAACCTTTCTTACGATTTCCCTTCAATCCTCCTCGCAAACCACTGCCGGAAACCGCCCCTAAGACAACCGTCGCCTCCTTCCCGTGCTTCTTCCGCTCGGTTCGAGCCACAAGAAAGAAATGGAGACCGAAACATTTTGGTTCCCTAATAAGAGTGGGCATTGGGTTTTAAAACAAAAGGTCTTAAATGCTCTTACTTAAAATTATTTCCACTTACAAGACACTAGGGGCAATCTTGTTATGTTGAGACTGTGATAAATTTTTTTGCTTCCAGTGTTGTGAAACCAGGAATTTGAATCTCAGAAAATTAATAAAAGTTTGTTAAAGTAGTGAAAGTTCAATCTTAATGATTTTCTTAGTTGAAACTTCAAGAAAGATCTCAGAATTTAACCAAATCTAGGCAAGTAATACCGCTAAGTTAGCAAGATCTATAAAATAACAACGGCAATAAGTAGTAGTGCAAATGAAAAGCCAACAAGAATCCAACGGTTAACAAAGCGATTGTCTCACCTTGAGGCTACGCTCATTTATCTACTTCTAGGGTTGTTGGAAGAAGAACCACACAAGAGATGAAACCACTCCGAGGGCGACGGTGCCGGAGATCCGTAGGGAAGGAGAGGAAGTCGCCGGATGTGGAGGTGGTGTGGAAGGTCGGCCGTCGATGGTCCACACGTAGTCCGGACGTTGTCTATCAATAACTTGGATGAGGGTCGGGAGGATCCGATCCAAGTAATCTCCCACGGTGTCTTCATCGGATTCAAATCCTGCGTCAAAGAACGGCGATCGTAGTACGTCGAGATTGCCTTGGGCATCAAACACAAGTCCCCATTCTAGCTCGGGATCCGCCATGCGACATGGAGTGATGATGGGTGGCCACCAAGAGAAGTTCTCCCAAAGGGGAAGGTGGAAGTCGGCGGGTGTAGAGGGGAGGGGAGGCCGGCGGTGGAGTTAAGGTGAAAGGGGGAGTTGGGTTTTGGAAAACTGAAATTAAATTCAGTTTTAGGGATTTTGGAGGGAGAGATTTGAATTTCAAATTCAAGCTTTAATTGCAATTAATTCCTTAATGAGGGAATTAATTGGGGAAAAGCCCATTGAAGGCCGGCGGCAAGGAGAGAGGAGGGGAGAGAGCTAGCTGTGAAAATTGAAATAAATTTCAGTTTTAAATGTGATGGGAGGGAAATCCAAGTGAAATCAAATTCAAATTTCAATTAGATTTAGAGGAGTAATGAGGGCAATTAGTGGGGAGCCAAATAGGAGGGGCGGCGGGATGAATAGAGGGAGAGAAATTTCGGGAGAGAGGGAGGGGGTTTCCAAAAATAAAACGATGACTAGGAAAATTTTAAATTAAATCCAAAACCAATTTAATTTTAAAATTTTGGATTCATTCGAAACTTTCCATAAATAGAAATTTCTAAATTTGGAAAGAAATTGAAATTTGAAATTCAAATTTCAATGGAGGGTTGGGGAGGGAGAAGTGAGGGTGGTGGTAGAGAGGGAGGAAGGCCGGCGGCAAGGTGGCCGGCCAGTGAGGCTAGGGAGGCCGGCGGTGAGGGATCCCAAGGAGGCGACAAACGTGGAGGGGGGCCGGCTTCTTCCAACTCGTTGGTATGAACGACGCTCTTTGTGGATGAGGGGGAGATCTACGGATGTAAACACTAAGAGAATTCACAAAGAGATCTCAATTGAAGAACTCACTAAGAGATCTTCTTGAACTCACAAAGAGAACAAATGGTAGAAAATTTTCATTCAATCAATAATCCATACAATATAATGATCAAGCGCTTATATAGGCTCATCGAAAATAAAGAAAATAAAAGACGATATTGCCCTTGGGCTACAACAAACACTAATTCCCTCATAGGGGTACAAATGGAAAAACATGAAATAAAATGACATGACTAAAATAAAGCATAAAAAATAAAGCTGCTGAATCATGACCGTCGCTCGACGACCCCTCCGGTGGTACGTATGTCGGAATGTCCTACGGATGTCCTCATCATCCAGAATACATGAAATTCAATATGGGTTCTTTATACCGATTCACTCAGAATTTTGCGCACTATTTTATGAAATTTACTGCGTCGAATTTTGACTACTTCAAAATTTTGACTAATTTCGTCGCGGCGCATCGAAATGCATGCGACACCGAAAATTGTTATTTTTTTCGGGTTTTACATTGGGTGTATTGGGTGGAACATTACTTTGCTATCAGCGGGCTGACTGAAGGAAAAAAATCTCATGGCGGAAGGTCTATGTTTGGAAGGGAAAATCCTAGCCTAGTTCCAATGGAGGGAGGCTAGGCATTCGATTTACTCATGGGGAGAATTTAAAGAGTGCTTGTTAAAACGTCCAAGCCATTCGAGAAGGAGAGCCATGAGCAGTTCTATGCCTTAGCTCAGGAGAGTACAATTATAGAGCATCGAGAGAACTTTGAGTTGCTGTCAGGGAGACTGAGGGGAATCTTTGAGAAAGGATTGGAGGGGAATCTCTAAGGAAGGATTGGAGGGGAATCTCATGAAGGGGCTTAGAGAGGATATATGGGCAGAACTTGGGGTACTAAGGCCTAGGGGGCTGAGAGAAACGATGGAGCTTGGTTAGAGGGTGGAGGAAAATATATAAGAGGAAGAAGGCTGACAGAAGCAACATCATGGGAGGGGCGTATCGGAGAACCCCTACAACTCTAGCACACATAACCTAGATAATATCCTTTTAGAGAGAAGCTCCTAGGGAAAAGAGCGATGGAGCTCCCCTGGAGGGAAACTTCAAGCGACTCACAGAAGCGGAGGTGCAGGATAAACGGGCCAATGGGTTATATTTTAGATGTGATGAAAAATACACGTTGGGGCATATGTCTAAGGACCGAACTCTTCATGTTCTCACAATCTGTGATGACGAGGAAGCTCAGGAGGGAGGTTGGAGCGAGGCATTGGCAGAGGAGGAAAAATTGCATTTAGACATCGCTAAGGTCTACTTAAACTCAGTAGTGGGATTCGTACTTGTCAACAACGAATGATGCAGCACGACGCAAAGTTTCCCATGGAGCTATGGCGCATAGCGCATGACACAAAATAAAAAATAAAAAAAAAATATTTATATAGATCATTTTTTAGAGTATCGATCAAGTTGGGTAAGGCTTGGTTGAATATGTTTGTGGGCCAAAGTTCAAACCATTAAAGCGAGTTTCAAGTTCGTTCAAAATATCTACTAAAATAAAGTATGAATAAAGTTTAATAAAATCCAACTAAATTATTTTAATTATATCAAATAATTTTAAAATTAATTATGACATTATTTTAGAAATTAAAATATATCAATATTAAAACTATCTATAATTATATTTAAAAAATCCCTAAAATTCAAATTGCGTGCGCTGTGGCGCAAATGACGTGCGCAAACTTAAACGTGTGTCGTTCCATGCAGCTGGCGTTGTAGGTGCGACGTGCTGCGCCATGCGCCATGGCGCATGCCATTTTGCGCCATTGACATATATGGTGGGATTCACTCCGAATCACACTATGAGGGTGAGAGAAGAAATAGCAGACAAGGAGGTAGTGATGTTGATGAATTGTGGGCTACCCATAATTTTATCTCCAGCCAGGTCATAGATCAATTGGGGATGAAATTGGTGAATGCAGAGTGCTATTGGGTGATGATAGGAACTGGGAAGATGGAGATAAGTAGAGGGGTGTGGAAGGGAGTGTCCTGATCATACAGGGGATCTAGGTGAGTGACGATTTTCTCTCATTGGAGCTGGGGAGCACTTATGTCATCATGTGGATGAGATGGCTGTAGACCCTCGGGGATACTAGGGTGAATTGGGGGACGTCGATAATGGAATTGATGGTGGAAGGGAAAATGATGGTGATTAAGGGAGATACATGACTCTCCAAAGCCACGATGTCTCAAAAAACTATGATTAAGGGAGATACATGGCTCTCCAAAGCCATGGTGTATTAGAGAGGATTGGAGCAGCGGCGTACCGCTACTATACATCCAGTGTTCCACGTGTCCCAATTGAAGAGAGCTATTGGGGATCATGCTGTTAGCTCAATTACTTGTGACACAGACATAGGTTTTAGAGGGAGTTATTAGAATCACTGGAGTTGAGTGGGTCCCGATAGGTTGATGAAGGGACTAAGGAGGTTATGATGAAATGGAAAAACTTACCAGATTATGACATCATCTGGGAGTCATATGAGAGGGTGAAACATCAGTTTGCATCCTTTCACCTTGAGGACAAGATGATTCTTTGAGGGGGGTATTGTTAGACTGATCCAGCCAGCCTAGCACTAGGGTCGGCCCTTGGTGTATTTCGGGTGGACCAAGCAAGCCGCCGGCACCCTTGTGGGGCCCATGATTTGAATGCTAATTTAAATAAGCGAGGGCAGTTTACAAGGGAATTAATTTTGGGTTCTTGCCGCCGACTAGAGATGGGGAGAGCTGGATCTTCCTCTCGAATTAAAAATTCATTGAAACTTGTTTGTTTTCTTCCATCTTTCATCAATTATTAAGTTTCCCTAGAGCCTTGCCATCAAATTTCTCTCAAATTCTATTTTTATATTGCTGAAATTTCAAATTTCTGCCAAGATCTTTTGATTTCTGCAAGTATTTTCTATCATGATAGCCTTCCCGGTACAGTGGTTCTCTTCCGCTGAGCATTACTAGTGCTTGTCATTAGGTTTTTGTCCGGTCATTGGAAAGTTTATGTTGCAATTTCAGTATATTTCCTCAAGGAATTTGCTTGCTTATAGCTAAAACGCTGGAATAGTAGTCGTTCTATTCCATACAGAAATTCGTTGTTTCGATGATTATTAAGTGCATCTTTTCTTATTTAGTTGGGATGCCTAACCAAAAAAAAAAAGAACCTATGACAGGCTAGGTGGAAGCAAGAACATAAAGCTAAGGGAGATGTGCTCTTGCTACTCAAGTCGAAACGAAAAGAAAGAGAGCAAATTGAGGCTTCCGGAAAATCAAAGGAGAATGAGATAACAATTGAAGCAGAACATGAACTTCAGAGATTGAAAAATGATATAAGGAGGCTTGAACTTCAGATAACACAGTTGAGGTTAACAACAGATTCTTCAAAAATGGCAGGCTTTGGATGGGTTGCTAATGGCAGTTATGCTTCAAGACTTGCAGATGTAGGAAAAAGTAAACACGCCGCCCATTCAATCACAAAACTTTTTGATATCCAGGATCAAGGAGATGAAGATTTGCAACGGGAAAGAGAATGTGTTATGTGCATGAGTGAGGAGGTGTCTGTAGTTTTCCTTCCCTGTGCTCATCAAGTTATTTGTAGTACATGCAACGAGCTTCATGAAAGGCAAGGCATGAAGGATTGCCCTTCCTGTAGGACTACCATTCAGCGAAGGATCTCCATTCGCCCTGCAGAATTTATAAGCTAAGTATACTCTCCATTTATCATTCTAGTTGCGATTTCAGAATAATGCTTTGCCTGAACTTTGGAATTGAATAATTCAACAAGAAAGGATTTTGTCATTAGGTTTCAAACAATCAATTTCTTGATAAACTTAGTGGGATGTATTGTTGCATCTGCTACTTGTTTAAATTTCTAAGAGCCAATCCAGAAAAATGCTGTTAAATTACAAACACGCTCACAATAAAAAACACATTCATATCTTTCTCTCTGCTTGTGTTTTAAAATCTTATACAGTACCATCCTTCTTTTATATGTTCATTTGTTCGATTGCTATTTTAAAAGATTCTGAAGTCGTGAATAACCTTCTCAGCCTTTTGGTAAGGAAAAAATATTTTGTACAAGCTGGCGTTCGGAGGCCAATCAAAATGCGTCACTTCATTTTTTTTCTCGGTACCGGTGCTTAGTACCGCTCGGTACTGATTGATGTGGCACGTTCTGATTAATCTTCGGATCGTCCGGTGTCCGCACAGAATAATTTCACGTTGGTAAGGGTCCCCAATGTTGACCGATTATTTCTCGTAATTAGCAGTTTTGCGACAAGTGTAATATTTCTCGCTCTCTCTATTCCTCAAATCAATGCTCACATTTTGCGAAAAAAACTATCATGTGCGGACATCGGATACCAATCAGAACGCGCCACCTCTGGACCGTCCGATGTTCACACATACTAACTTCTCCATTTAGAGATTTGCCTTTAATTTGCTTAATTTTAATTATTAATTTCTTATTAATGTAAATTTTAAAGTGATGTTCGTTAAATATAAGATATTTAAAAATAAATTTCTATAATTTTAATATGTATAGTAAATAATAACAAGTCTTTTTAGTTGATGAATATATTAAATAGTTTTTGAAAATAAAGAAGAAAAATAAATACATCTTAGATCATATAAAAATTTAATTTTCTTAAATTATTCAAAATGATTTAAGAAAATTAAATTTAATATTGTAGCCATCACTCATCAGAAAAAAAAAAATCACAGGTTTCCAAATTCTTTCATTTATAGATAAAATACAAATCCAAAATAGGAGCTTTTTTAGCATGTTTGTCGCGTTCAGCCAAACTGCTTTTTGAAAATCTAGATGAGAATATCAGGTTAGAAAAGAAAATTCGATTTGAAATTCGGCCACACTGAAATTCGATTTTTTTTTTTTATTTTTTTTTCTGCCATAAGTGATTAGTAAAGAACATATTAAGGTATATAAATTGGAAATTTGGAATAGAATAAAACATTAGATTATGTGCTTCAAACTTTGTTTTCTATACTGCCCTTTAGGCAGATATCAAATTTGAATCACATAATTAATTTCTTTGTAAATATAAGTATTATTGAAATTAGGTTCTTTTAACTTTGTAATTTATGCTTTTAATGTTGCGTTCACTTTATCAATATTTTGTTATTTATATTCTATTCTGATAATAATATTTAATCAATACAGAATAATACAAAGCTAAAGCATTGAAAAAACAAAAAAATGTTTAGCTTCTTCTTGCTTGCAAAAGTATTGAAATTGCTTCTGCTATTGTGGATTCTTAATCTAGGGTTTAGATGTGTGATTAGGAGCAGATCCAGAATATTCGATTTGATTTCAAATGAAATTGTAATGCAACATTATTAGATAATACAAATAATACTATTAATGTCAGATCTTCTCAAATCACCCTCGCATGCAAGAGGTAGTTGATTTTCATCAGTCAATAGTTGTTTATCAAGAGAATAAATTCTTATCGTGACTTCTGCATAAAAGAGAGACACTGAAGCTTGATAGGGGATGCCGCCTTTCTCAAAAAGTTGAATACCTCTAATGTAAGAAGAAAATGGAAGGAGGAGAAAGTTCCTTCTGCACTAAAGATGGACACTAAATTTAGATAGGGGATGTCATTTATCAAAAATAATGAAAAGTTTTTGAAGTAAGAAGGGAAGTGTGAAAGAAAAAGAGAGGAAGACTTCTAACTTCTATATAAGAGAGTAATATTTGTTCTTGATAGGAGATGCCACCTATTCAAAATAGTGAAAGGCCTGAATTGTAAGAATGTTAGAGGGAGGGGAAAATAAGATGAGAAGCAATTTTCTCCTTGTCTTAAAGATCTATTTCTTGGATAAAAAGGGGAGAAAATTATTTCTTTTTTTTTCGGAGGGGATGTTGCCTACAAAATTTTTTTCAATTTTTTTGAAATAATTTTAAAATTTAATAGAAATTTTTCTGGGCCCAAATATAAAAATTTTGAAATATTTTTTAAAAATTAAAGTGGGCAGAACTATAGCCGTCACGCACTTTATTGAAAAAAATTTTGGTGGGCCTCGCAATTTTTTTTTTAAAGTTTAACTATAGTTGGTAGTTGCAGGCTGCTCAATACCGCATCTTTTCAGGCTCGACGGCGCAGGCCGCCTCTACAGCAGCGGCCGACAGCCGGTTCGACCGCCAAAACACATCCGTGCCCGAATGTTTGGTCCGGACAGTCCAAATCAGATGTTTTGTGATCCCCATAACTATTTTTTAATGTTCCGGATTCAATTTTGACATTTTTGAAGCTCAACAGAACTTCTATAGTCAATTTTGAGCAATTTCAAATATTTTGGAGCATAATATTTCAATAATTTTTGCTCCAATCAACTCGCCAACTTCAGAACACGCTCAATTTATAATTAAGGGTATTTTTCTTGGTCCACAGCCCCGATGGGAGGTCCACGTTGATGTCCACGAAGCGGTCATGACTCATAATTTCCCAAAAATTATGATTTTGTGATTCAAACAATTTGAAATGCATTGACATATATTTTGGATTTCTGGAACTTTGATGTCCGAAAATAGGAGGCAACTAATATATCATCAAAAAATTATCTTGATCGGGCACGAATCTTGAGGAAAAATCCAATTGGAAACTTCCAAAATTAAATTCAGAACCATATGAATTCTGATTTCTGCAAACTTATAGTCCAACTGAACATCTCATAAATGTGAACCCAAAACATCAAATCATTTGGATTACTAAATGATTTTTAAATGTGAAATGCTTATAGTCGAATCGAGCGGCTCGACGAGACGAATCCAATGACCCCAAGATCATTTAATTTTGATATCATTAAAACATTAAAATGTCTAGAAAATTGTTCATGATCAAGGGAATGAATATCGACCGTCCATTCAAATCACCCCCAACTTACCCTTGATATTCCTCCTATTTACTAGTCACGCCACTCTTATAATACTATAAATAGGTATCCCATTTCTCATGAAAGGGAGACCCCAAGCAAGAAAGAGAATGAAGATAGTTCTCTTTCCACCAGGGTATATACTCCACCATCGTCAAACTTTTCTTCCCGGCCACCAACTGATGTCGGACTTCCACCTGGCATCAGACAAACGTCGGACTTCTACTCAGCCACCAACTAACGCTGGGCTTCTGCCCGGCCACCGAATATGATCATTCATACTTTCATCACCAGACAATGATCTTTCTGATCACTATCGCCCGCCAACTACAATCCTTTCAACCTCCATCGCTAGATTATGATCCTTTCGACCTCCATTGTCAACAACGATCTTTCTGACCATTATTACCCACCGACTACTATCCTTCCGACCTCCATCGCCAGACAATGGTCCTTCGATCTAACTTATATCACAAGAATATGGTCTTTCTGACCACTGTCGTCTGCTGAGCTTCGTCGTCAGAATACTTTCCTTCTGATCTTCGTCATCAGACAACTATTTTTCTGACATTTGTCACCCGCCAACTATAGTCCTTCCAACCTTTGCCCCCAGATAATGGTCCTTTCATCCTTCATCGTCCGCTGACTATGGTCCTTCCGACCATCATGTCCTTCGGACCATCATAATCGGAATACTGTCTTTCTGATGTCTGTTGCTCGCTGACTATGGTCATGCCTAGCTACCAAACGAACATATCAATAATGATTTTTCGAATTTCCACCATGTAATGCATTCTATATGATGTATATTTGTTTACATCAAGCCAATGCCTTCTCCCCAATGAATGGCCTCAGTTGTAACCAAATGCAAATACTAGTGGAATCATTTAAATTGGGCTACTCTCTATGATTTTTCCCATTTTAATTTTAGGATTTTTCACGTAAAAAACTTCGGTATCTCTTATGAACGCTAGACCTCTTTTATTATATTGTGTGTTGGATCATATTATAAAACTAAGATGTTAAATTTTATATTTCTCTATGGCCATGAATATTTCTAAACCCTAAACACTAAATATATTTGTATTATGCATATATTTAATTTTCAATTTAGTTGTATAAATTTTGATCCGGTTTTACTTAATTAATTTGCGACTATTACATATTATTATAAGATAAGCTTTCGTGTCTGTGCCATTCTCAAATCAAAGGAGGCGTTGAACATATGAGTTAGAGTACTTATTGTCATCACTTACAGCTATTTATACAGACTATATATTCATGTTGTAGTATATATATATAGTTTATCATTTTGTCGCATGAGGATTTAAAGTATCGACCAGATCGAGCCTTAATTAATTGCATGATATGCATGTATCGTAAGCCATGCATGCTATAGAATATTTTACGTACGTTAATTATATTAATAACGATTGAGTACGTATTCTAATTAACTAATTAATTGGTCAATAATGTTCAATTATCCAATTATATATAATAATCGGTGCATATATAATATCCTTAAATTAATAAAATTGTAATTAAGCTGGTAGAGAAACTCTAGCTATATATATAGACTTTATCATACCGTAGGTCCGTAATATATGCGCTCGATCAATTGAATATTTCAAATATTTTCCTGCTTCGTTAACAAACAATTAATCCATCTACTTAAACATTAAAATGCAATCGATCTGACCTTTTTTTTTATAAGCTGGTCTCATTTGTTTGCTGAGAGGGGACTGGTCCGATGATATAATTTAATTATAATCCTAAAACAATCATCATTTAATTATAATCCAATGATCACAATCATTTGACTACTGATTCTTGATCTTCATCGTCTAATTATGGCAATTCGATCGAGAGATTATTCTGCGCAGAGTCTGGACGTACTCCACATCCGAACTGTGAGTCAATATACTTTTGTACGTACACACTGTGTACACTCACAATTCTGATGTAGAACTACGTTCAAACTCCGCACATAATAATTATCCCCTTCAATCAGCATTGCTCGATTATTTTCCTCCAACTACCGTTTCTTGATTAA